CACCTGTGATGTTACACGTAGACCCATCACCTAAGGAGACAACACCTTCCTCCTCTCTTAGAATGTGTCAAAATATTATTTCATAGAAAAAATATGCATAGAACATCCAGAGTCTAAAACCCATTCATTTGAATAAAAATTTCACATACCTTTAGAGATTGTGAGAATGTCTCCATCATCATTAGCTGCAATTGCCATGCTTCCGAGTTCATCCCCATTCCTTTTTTGTGCAAGACAATCTCTCTTCATATGACCAATTTCCTTACATTTATAACATTGTATCTTGCCCTTTTCCCTAGCCTTGGATCTAGACCTACTACTCTCAGACCCTCTGTCAAACGACCTTCCTTTTTGATCCGTTCCCACTGTAACCAATACAAAGTCTTACCTACACTCATACTTGGGCTTCCTCCTAACCTCATTGTATAGAAGAGATGTAGTAACTTTCTCTAAGTTCACTACATCTTTCCTGTACAGCAAGGTTGTCACCAAGTTTTCATACAAATCAGGAAATGAAGTAAGAAGTAAAAGGGCCTTGTCTTCTTTCTCCACCATGACATCAACTTTCCCTAGTTGATCCAAGATATTGTTAAACACATTTAGGTGTTCCAGGAGATTTCCACCATCTTCCATATTCAGCTCGTACAACAATTGCTTCAAATATCACTTTGTATTTAAACTTTTTTCCCAAATAAAGCTTCTCCAACTTATCCCGCAATTCCGTGCAAAATTTTCCTCCATAACGTTATTAGCCATGAGCAATCAAATTGTACTAACACACCTTGGCTCAATGTCCTCCCAATCAGCATCCTTCATGTCTTCCATCTTCCTATCCTTTCCCTTCAATACTCTAGCCAAGCCTTGTTAAACCAAGACATCCTTTACCCCTCTTTGCCATTGGGTAAAACTACATTTGCCATCAAACATCTCAATCTGGAATTGAGAACTTATACCTTTTGTTGCCATTATCTCTCAAGCAATTTTACAAACACCTTGTAAACACTAACCTGGGAACTCTGATACCACTTTGTTGGGGCCTCATAACAACCACCCATAGTATATAAAATCACAAGATATTTGAAATAGCAACTACGAGAAATCTAATAAAAACAAAAATGATGAAATGCAAGCAAAGACAAATAAAAACAAGCACCACAAAGAATACAAAGATTTACATGGTTCAGCCTTATTGCCTACGTCCATGGGAGAAATGAAACTTGTTATTCACTATGAAAGAAAACTAATAAGCATTACAGATATATTGTGGCTTACAACTCAAACCAACCCTTAATCCTTGTACACTCTTTCTCCCATTACTCTCAACCCAAAGAACAAAAAAAAAAAAGAAAAAACACTCTCACACCAAGAGCACTCAATATTTTTCTCTCACACCTTCCCTCTAAAAAAGCCTTAACCCAAGATACAAAAGAAAGCTTTTATATGTAAAACATCTTTAACCTAAAAAGGGACTACAACAACTATTAGATTAAAATTAATCCAGTGGTTGTAAAATAAGACACAATCCCAACACCAAGCGCTCCCCACCTGCTAGGTCCTGGGGTTGTGAACACTGATCTCTCCAACGCACAACCCTGTGCCAGACTAGTAGATGAAGCACTCCCCACCCTCCAACTACATTTTTTTATCCCATGAACACCGCGAGGCACCAAGATGAAAGGTTCTAATCCACCATTTCCCGAAGCCGTTCACTTATCCCTTTGAACAACGCAATAGCAAAACTTGCGGATCATTTCGTGAGGACAAACTAGAAAAGAGGGACCCGCTAGTTTCTTCCTCTGAAGCTAAAAAGATGAACCACTTATTCCCTTCCAAACTTTTCACCGCCAGCTTCTACATGTTCCTCCATCACAAAGAAGACCAGGTTTCAACCTCTTTGTTGGAAGCGAGATGCTACTAGAGAATTGAAGAACTAGAAACTCTTGTAGGAACCTCTCATGTTCTCAAACCCTAGTCCTTGCACTTGCACCACTGCGGTGCCTTCCTCGAAAACACCTAGTTCCACCATGAGAATGCCTAGTTCCACCTGTGAGTGAATCCTATGAATCCTTTGGTTCACTAGAAACATGTACCCTCCAATAGGAGTCGTGCATGTTCCCCTTTTTAAAATGGAGCTCCCATTAATGTTTAAAAGTCCCGTTAATGGGATGAATCCAGTTGAACTGGATAGAAAAATACAAAAATTAAAAGAATCCATCAACGATACTCATTACATTACCCCTCACAAAAGTCATTGTTTGTTTGGTGGAACGGGTTTCTTGAGCTATATGCATCTAACCAATGGAGGTGTTGTTGTAGCTCTCTCTAGTGACAATCATAGGCTTTAAAAAGGGGATGTTTATAGTTTCTTTTAATGGATGACGCAATTGTTACCAGGGCTAGCTTGTGCAGCTATCACTAAATACATCTAAAAGCCTATATCCACGTCCTGATCTTCTTACTCCATTGTATAAATTTGGACCTTCTTTTATCATTTTGGATAGCTTTTATTTCTGGTATTTTGTTTTGGTTTTTAGATGAGGGGAATGTTCTTTAATTCAAAAGGGAAGGGGGTATTAGAAGTTTTAGAGATTTCGGGTGTGTTCTATAATGTGGATGAGAAATTGGTGGGTGTGGACTGATCCACACCACACCTTGTGGCAGGGACCAATCTATACCATACCATACCATAATCCACAACTGTTCTTAATTGTAAACAACAGTGGCATTCTGTAGGCGTGGTGTGGACCAGTCCACACCACACTTTTTGATTCTATGTATCTCATATACATTTTATGAATGATTTATACAATTAATCATAAATGTCTAATTTTTACATTTTATACAATAAATATATTGAAAAATGCATTGATAAGTTAATACTAACTAATAAATATTAATTTTAATAAAAATGATAATAAAATAATTAATAATAAAAAATATATTTTAAATATTTAATAATATTATTTTATTAATAAAAACATTAAAAAATTAAAAAAAATCTAATTAAAAAATTCATATTAACCAACATTTAAAAATATTATTTTAATAAAAACAACATATAGATTTCAGACTCACCATGGTCAGTCAAATATACATAGAATTGGAATATTTTGAATCATTGTGAAGCAGGGTATCAAAATTTAACCGTGGACAGACCCCCTCCACGAGAAAATGTCGTGGCCGATAATATGGGGTGTAGACAGGGCTGGTCCATGATATAGTGTAGACCAGTCCCATCCATGACCAATCGAACACCTTGTTCATCCTATGGGGTTAGACAAAACGGTCCACCCACAAGATGAACATGGAACTGAACACTGTCTTAGGGGGTGTTCTATAACGTGGATGAGAAATTGGTGAGTATGGACTAGTCCACACCATACTCGGTGTCAGGGACTAATCCACACCACATGCACTATTGTTTATAGCTATTCTGAACTATGGATCAAATTATGCAGACAGAAACTGTCTACCCAAAAGGGCATTCTACAGGTGTAATGTGAACTGGTCCACACCACACCCATTGATTCCATACAATGTGGACTGGTCCGCACCACACAATTGATCATGTTGGATCGGATAAGGGTGATCCGAATTAGATCCAATACAATCCAAAAATATTACAGATGATTATCTGAATATGACAAAACTAGGATCGGATTTCGAGTTAGATTATGATTTGATCCATTTCCACCTGTAGGATCATGAATGAAAAAAAACATAATTTAAACAAAAAATAATTTGAAATAATAATATAAAATAATAATGGATAAAATAAAACACCAATACATAATTACTAATAAGTATAAAATAAATAAATATATATGTCATTATAATATTATCTTCAGCAATAAATAATTTTTATATAAATTATAATATATTAAAAGGTTAAATAAAATAAGAGTAGTTGGACAAATGTAACACAAGCGCTTTACACCGAATCTTACCCACAAACTGTCCACATCTTAGTGTGGTGCATCCACAAAAAAATAATATGGACGATAAATTGGGGTGTAACCCATCACTGTCCACACTATTTTCACACTAGTGTGGATAGGACCAAAATGGTCATGTCCACGATAATTCCACAATACCGAAAACCATCTTCTCTCTAGATAGAAGTGGAAGGACTATAAGTCTGGGCAGTGAGAAGAAGCCCAAGCTTTCTTACATCTACCTCAACCCCGTATCTTCTTCCTTGGGTGGAGGTGGTGGCTCAACCAACACAGCCGGTGTGGTGGCGATTCAGCTACCGTAGCTGAACCTGAGAGTTATGTTGTGGGTGGTGGTTCGCAGAAGGACGAATGGGCCTAGGAGCTTCAACCTATTCCAACTTCACAAAGATTGTTAACAGCAGCAGCACTAGAGTGTAAAAATGTGGCTTTGGAATGGAAGTTTGGAGAGTATGTTTGTTGGGATTTGTAGCTTTGCCCAGCCATGAACAATCGCTTTTCCAATGGATCGATCATGGGCAACATAGATGATCCATCATCTAGTTTTAAACAATTATTGCATGTTGGGGGGTTGTTCTTCGGATTTTGAAGGCAATGTTGTCAACAAGCCTTTGTGTTGGAATCACCGGTGCTGGTATGCTATACATGGTTGTTAGGGCTTGGAGGAGAAAATGGGAGGAAGTTCAAATGAATAGATTCTTTTCATTTTTTGTGCTTTTCTATCAGGTTTAACGGAATTACCACATTAACGGGTGATTCATTTTAAACAAGGTGACGTGCACACCTCCTATTTTAATAATCATGTGAGATTATTAAAATAGATCAGTTGTAATAAATTAATTAATGGTTTAGAAACCCCATTAATTTTAAATTAATTAGTTAATTTAATATAACTGTTGAGTTGAATTTATATAATTAAGTTCATTCTATGACATGACAGTCCATAGTTATATAAATAAATATAAACATGGTTTGAAACCACCCAAAATTCTCTCCAAACTATTCTTCTTTGTTCTTCTTTTCTAAGTGAAATAATGATGATGCCAGAGAAAGGGCTCCACAAGGAAAGGGTGAGCGTCATGGGAAGCTGTCAGAATCCATCATACAGGACTGTGGTCTTAGAGATAATACAAAACCTCCAAAATCCCTTAGTAGTATCTACAGAATACCAAAGGCGCTTGTCAAGATCAATGAAAAGGTGTATGTGCCTCAGATAGTTTCCATTGGCCCCTTTTATTATACAATAAAACATGATACCAGAAAACAGAAAAACAAATATCTCAGATACTTTCTGCGCCGTAATCCCAACTGCAGCTGGGAAACAACCTTGGATAGCTGCGTCGAAGCCTTGAAAGAAGAAGAAAAAAAGGCTCGAAGGTGGTATTCCGAAGAGATAGAATCCATCAATAGTAATGAGTTTGTGACAATGATGTTAGTGGATGGTTGCTTCATTCTCGAGTTGTTATGTAGAATGTATGAGAAAAACAACCCACAACCAGCTGTGATCGGCAACAAAACCCAGGACAACAACGATGATGAAGAGGGCCCAGTATCCAAGAAGATGCTCCCAAGAATACGACACGACATGTTATTACTTCAAAACCAACTTCCCTTATTTATCCTTGACCGATTATTTGAGAAAACCATTATCCACATCTCACCAATACCCCTCAATGAACTTGTCTTTCATTTCTTTCGAGACATAACTCCGATCCATGTCCATGACTTACGAGACAAACCCAAGCATATACTCCATTTATTGCGCCAATTTATGCGTGCTTCATCGAAATTGGAAATCACAGGGAAGAGTAGTGAAGAGGCCAAATTAAGTAATTATTCTGTGACACAACTCAAAGAAGCCGGAGTCAAGTTCTTGAAGAAGGAGAACACTGATAGCTTCTTAGATATAAGCTTCAGAAATGGTGTATTAGAAATCCCCAAAATACATGTTCAGAACTACACAGAATGCCTACTTAAAAATTTGATTGCATTTGAGCAGTATTTCCCTAAATGTAGTGGTCGGATCACGTCTTATGCCTTCCTCATGGATAGCCTCATCAACACTCCAGAGGATGTCCAGTACCTCTACAAGAAAGGAATAATCACGCATGGCTTGGGCAACCATGAAGAAGTATCAGATCTGTTCAACGATCTTAGAAAAGGAGCTTTCCTCCACCACTTCTATTATGAAGACGTCTGCACGGATCTTAATAACCATTTTGACAAGCGTTGGAAAGTCTGGGGAGCAATTTTCAAGCGCGAACGTTTAAAAAATCCGTGGACGATTGTTTCACTCATTGTTGCAACTTTATTTTTTGTTCTCACCTTTTCATCGTCCTTGTTTTCTGTGCTTTCTTTCTTTGTCCATGGTTCTTGACCTACTATAGCCACTACTCTGGTTGAATAGCTCAGTCAGCTGGGTGTCTATCCACGCATAATTACATGCAAGTCGATGATCATCGATCTACAACCCTTTCAACGGTGGCGCACAGTGAAACGGCAACCTTTCAAATTCTGCATCGATTCAAGTCTTTATATGTCTATTGTTAATTAACATTTGTGTGTTTTATCTCTACTGTATTGATGAATTGCCATGACTTTGTTCATTTTATTGGTTGTGTTTGTCTTGGTCTCTCAGAAATGCATCTTAATTACCACCCAACTATTTGTACTTGTTCAATTACTTAACAATGTTAATGACTTTGTCAATTCAATTCTGTTTCACTTGGTGGGGATGCAACCCGGGCCTAGTTGGATCGAGTCATTCTGAGGTCAACACAAGCCAACCCTGACTTTAGAGTACTCAATTCAGCCATTACCCAACCCTCAACCTACAAAAGTAGTAATGACTATAAACCTGAGCCCAACTCCAATATTTAAATATGTAAAAAGCTTGTATTTTATATGTATTTATATTATATACATTTGTATTTGTACTCCTTCTAAGGTTCAACTTGGAAGAAGCATAAATACAAATAGATAGAGTGCAAAACCTTGTATTTTATATCATTTTGTATACATTTATATTGTACATATTTGTATTTGCACTGCTTCCGAACTGAGCCTAAGCAACCTGGATTTTATATAATTGGATTGGATTGTGCCAGATTAATCCCGCAATGATTTACTTTTTTTTTTTTAGAAGTGAAAGATTGGAATAGTTGTAGGTTTGGCTGCAATTAATTTGGGCGTGCACAACCCGACCCTGAGCTTTTGCATAGTTCAGGCCTTAGTTTTTGGGCTAACTTGGACCTGACTAAACTTGGGTTCGGCTTAAGTAACCTGAGGCCAGCAAGCCCAGTCTAACCGAATCCAAGCCCGTCAAGCATATACTCATTTTTTTTATACAAAAGTATCTTTTTTTAATATTATATACACATGTATACAAGTATAAAATATGCATATGCGCATTGTTTTATGAATTTATGCATATTTTTCAACATGTTCTACTCCCAAGTCAGGCTATCCATCCAATTGCAACCCAACTCAACCCAAACCCAAACCCGGACCCAGCCCAATTTGTATTAGTTTAAACTTACATTGGGCCTGGGTTCAATTACCCAGACTTGACCTAAATTGGGCCAGGCCTAAGACCGGAGTTTTTATCTTAGGATTCGGTTTGGATTCATCCTCAACCCCCCACAAATTGCACCACTATTTATAGGGAATATACATTTGATTGCCGATATGGGAGCATTATTATTGGTTAAACAACGCAGCTAACAAGTGACGATCATCCGGACTCTCTCCCAAATAACTAACCCCTTTAATACTTTATCAAGTATTGGATTGTTTTAGAGGTTAATAAAATCCAGGGTAAATTGCAGATAGCCACCCTGTACTTAGGATGTTGTAACACTTACCCTCTGAATTCTGCTTGTAAGAGTTAGGATTAAAAAAAAACAAAGCTAAAAGGACACGACGGTCCTACAATATAACATAGAAATACCTAATTTTGGGTTTTAAAATTGTTTTAAGTTACATTTTATGAAGTTAACCGAAAGAATTGTGGGGGCTAAGCGTGACTACTCCCAAAGTATTAGGCAGAAACAAAAGTTGGGTCTTTGTCAGAGAGGAAGACGAATGTGATGTTTGGTACCAATGACGATTCTTTGTTACAAACCTTTACATTAGAATACTTTTAATTTAACGGTGGTTTTAGAGAATTTAAGGTTAAGATCTAGATTTTAAGGGTTTCTAGTCACCCTAAGATCATTGGCATGATCTGATCAAGTGTAAAGGGGTATTTTAGTGGATATTTTTGTCAAATTTTGGTTTTCTAGGAAAATTTTGGGTTTTTGACATGTTTTCTAGTTTTTTCGGTTTTTGAATGAGCATAGACTAAGTAAAAATTGAGTTCTGACAAATGATGAGCTCTATACTCTTTAACAATTGATAATGTAGTAGTAGCAACAAGTATGGTAAGAAGTAATTTTTTCAATGAGAAAATTAAAACAAAACCATTAGACCCAAAACTAGATGCACTTCTTACAGAAAGTCGGGGTAGAAGTCAAAGCAGAATTTCATACAACTATAACAAATCTAGAGGCAAATCCAAGTCAAGGAAAGACATTACATGTTTTCATTGCAAAAAGCAAATACACTATAAAAGCAAGTGTCTGAAACTCAAAAAAGACAAGAAATAAAGCGAAAAGAATGAAGAAAAGGATACCACTTGATTTACAAGTGGAGATATCATTGTTCTTGAAGATTCTGAAGAATCTTGCATTAATTTGGCATGTCATCACATGGATTAGATTGTTAATACACGTACTTATATGCTACCCTTAACAAAAAGTACTTTCCTATAGTGTTGGTGATTATGGTGTTATGAGAATGAGGAAAAATAGAACTTCCAAAATTGTGTGGATTGGTGATATTGTCTTCAGACTAATGTAGTTAGGTTGCCAACTATGAATTTAGTTGGGAGTTAGATGAACTTAGTTGGATTGGTGGTATTGTCAAATAAGTTTTAACTCTCCATTTGAATATGAATTTAGTTGGGAATTAGATGAAGAAAGATTTAAGAACCAATTTGGTAATAGAATATTGAGACTATCCAAAGGGTCCCTTATAGTAGCAAAAGGCAAGAGGTATTATGCTCTCTACTGCACACAAGGACGTGTGTGGATGGGGATCGGAAGTAAATACTATGGAGAAGGAATTCTCAACAAAATTGTGGCACAAATGACTAGACCAAATGAATGAGAAGGGAATGCAAATTTTTGCTAAGAAATATCTCTTAACTAGCATGAAAGGTACACTTTTTAGAACATGTATTCATATCTTAGCAATTAAACAAAGTAGGGTTTTATTTCAAAGTTTTCCTCCTCGTAGAAGAAAGTATGTTTGGCAATTCAGCTAATTATCCGCTAGCTTTTTTAGGTTAATCAAAACCTAAACCAATCATTTGGTTTTTCAAAAACACCAAACCGATTGTCTCAATATTTAGTCAGACTTTTCGATTTGGTTTTGTTGATTTGATTCGGTTTTTTGGTTTTCTATAATCACTTAAAGGTTACCTCCATCTTTATTTAAGTTATTGCAACTACTACAAGGCAAGTGGTAAAGGCCAACTTTGTTGTTGCTTGAAGGAACTTGATTAGTACAATGATCCTTAACAAGATAATGAGAGGCATGAAAGTCAAAGTACACACTGTTGTCAGGTAAAACTGGGCAACTGATAAGATATTCTTTTTAATGATAGGAACATAAAGAATATTTTTCAACATTAATGGCTTCTAAAAGATGAAGAAAGAAAGGTGGAACCTGCAGAATTTCCTGTGGTGACTTGATTTAGGCCATCATACTCAAAATGTACATCTCGTTTGCTTAGATCATTAGTGTGATGGTGAGTCCCACCAAAATCTAGAAAGCAGTCCTCATCCCCAAGGTTCAATGTAGCTGAGGCATTGTAAGCAAAAGCATTAAGAGCTTGAGGTGATGTATATAGTGTCTTTCTTACTCAACTTAGGGGGTTTTAGATCCCGATTATATTGGTTGTGACAGTCGAAGACGCAGTGGCTTCTGCTGCCACAAATCTAGCAAGGATTAACATCCAAGAAGGACCCTTGTCAATTGAGTGGAAGTTGGATCTCTCCAAAGACCAAGTTGTGCTTGAAGTTGCTAGGGGCCTTGGTGTATGTTGCAGCGTCAAGATAGGGAAATGGAGGCTACTAGGGGTGTAAATTGGACTAGGTTTGGCCCAATCCAATTCGGTCCAATATGAATTCATTACAAATGGACCAGGTCCAATCCAATCCAATGAATACTTTGGATCATTTTGGAATGGTCCAATTTAATGTTTGGATCATCTGATATGTTTAAATTGGTTTTAATTTAGATCGGTTCCAGTCCAAACCTGGTCCATTGACATCTATATTCTTATCTTCTATCAACAGACTAGTTATTAATTCAATCTGACCCAATCCAATATAAATACCTTACAAATATATCAGGTCCAACTCAATATATATGTCTTATTGGTATGCCCAATCCATCCAAATTGATTTTGATTTGGATGGGTCGAACCTAAAAATGCCCATTGACACCCCTAAAGGTAACGATTGAGTACAGTTATGCAAGCTTTCATGTAGTTCTCAGTAGATTGCTAAGAGATTATCAAAGTTCACATTGTTTGACTAAATTTGGATAAAGGTAACAAATGCATCAATGTCAGCCTAAGGGCGCCATTGAAGGTGTAATGGGAGTGCACTAGATCAGATAGTAGCTGACCAATAGCTACCAAGTTATCAAAAATAGTCTTGATACTGTGCAAAGTTCATTTTGAAGTTGTGTAAAGCTAGAGTTTGAGCAATAATATAGAGAGACTCCATGGTGTGCCAAACATCATGAGGATGTGCATCTGACAAGTTGAGAAATGGCAGGCTCCTTAAGAGAGGAGGGAAGCTAGCCCATGAATATCTGGCCTTGTTGCTCCCATTGACTATAGTTTGTCTTTTTCATGAACACACTAAGATGGATTCTTCAGCATGGTTTTCAAAATCGGATCGGACCGGAAAAACCGGGAATCGGTCAAGTGACTGGTTTTATTTTTCCCCAAAATCAGACTTTTGCAAAACAAAAGAACGTTAATTAGGTCAATAAATCTCTGATCCGGGCGTTTGAACCGTTCAACAGTTTTGACCGTTTTTCTTTATTTTTTTGTCAGAATGGGCTAATCGTTCGACCGAGGAATCGGACCCCTGACTAGTTCAGTCTCCGAATCAATTTTAAAAACCTTGCTCTTCAGTGTTCCATTCACATAATCGGGAATCCTGCACCCTTCAACATTGGCATAATATGAAATTTCCATAGCAAGTAGCTCTTGCCATCCATCTTGATGCATGGCAACCAGATTGGCAATAACATTTCCAAGAATGACAAGCGATGTTGTGGTTATAGTGACAATGATAATGATTTATCGAGATGAGAAAAAGCAATGTAATCAACAAATCAGTTATGAGGATTTGATACCTGAAACAATGTAGAATGTGAGAAATGATCTCAAGAATCGATGTGAATCATTGATTGACTGTGAATATTTATACATATGTATAAAGTTTGGTTACACTACATGGGTCACAACAGTGGGATAAATTATATAAAAAGGGATAGAACAAATAAATTATGTATACCAATCACGAC